ATACATACATACATACATACATACATACATACATACATACATACATACATACATACATACATACATACATACATACATACATACATACATACATACATACATACATACATACATACATACATACATATACATACATACATACACACACATACATACATACATATACATACACATGGTGAAGAGATTGTGACAGTAAGAAGAGAGCAACATTGAAAGGAAGAGGCGACGGACACGATTTAGAGAAACCTCTAGAGGGAGACGTGGAGCTAGAAGAAAAGTCTACTCAGGGAAGCAAGATGAAAGCCGCCTTAGGAGCAGCAGGAAGGGGGGGTAACTCTCAAAAGTCAGCAGAAGGAGGCGCTGGCCTTACCGCAGCAGTTTTTCCGCTGCTCGAAAGGCCTCCTCCACTGACACAAGAAGTTTTGAGCAGTACGTAGGCTCTCTGCGCAGGCAAGCTCTTCAGCAACCATCGAAGGGCCGCATGCACGCCCAGCCACGTGTGCCTGTGCTTCCGCTAGGTAAGCAACCTCTCCTATGGCATGCGCGCAGACGGTAAAAGAGAGGAGCTGCTGCTGCTGCTGCTGCTGCTGGGGACGGGGCAGCCAACAGCTGATGAGCTCGATCCTGGAGAGGAATGTTTGGATGCTTTCTGCAGCGTCGTAACTGGGCACTGCAGCAGCAGTTGCAGCGGCTGCTGGTGCAGAAAAAGATTCGCAGACGGACAGCACTTTTCCGTCAACGCCTGGCTGTGAAGGGAAGGAGAAAGTGTAGACTTCCAGAGGATTTCCAAGAGGCCCTTGCAGTCTCAGACATACAGCTCCTAGAAGGCCTCGACGCAGGGGTGCCACGAGGGAGCTGCACACCTGCAGGTGTCCATACACCCGAAACACCCCCCCACACACACAAACACACATAAGATTTTTTGCCACGAGGGAGCTGCACACCTGCAGGTGTCCATACACCCGAAAACAAACCCCCATGCACACAAACACACATAAGATTTTTTGCCACGAGGGAGCTGCACACCTGCAGGTGTCCATACACCCGAAAACACCCCCCCCCACACACACAAACACACATAAGATTTTTTGCCACGAGGGAGCTGCACACCTGCAGGTGTCCATACACCCGAAAACACCCCCCCCTCACACACAAACACACATAAGATTTTTTGCCACAAGGGAGCTGCACACCTGCAGGTGTCCATACACCCGAAAACACCCCCCCCAAACACAAAAACACACATAGGCGGCAGCGATGCTCGCCAAACAAGCAGCAGTCTGGATCCGTAGCCGGCCTGACAAACTGATGCCAAGTGGACGGCCCGCCCAAGAGACAAAGTGCGTGGGTGGGTAAGTAGGGCTGAAGGGGGCATGCATGCATGCATGCATGCGCTCTGTGTGTGGTGTACTGTACTGCACGGATCAGCGCTGGTATCAGTGGCCCCCAAACGCTAAGAGTGTCATCGCTGCTATGGATAACAAAGCCCCCTTTACCCCCTCCACCCCTCTGGCTCTGAGAGCGGCTTAGCTAGAAGTCAAGTGGTCTCAAGTAGCTCGATTAGGATGTGCAATCCGCCGCCTCACAGGGGACGCTTACTGGATGCACCCGCGGCTTCTTGCCGGGATTCAAGTTTCGACTGTATATATATATGTAAATATGTGTATATGTGTGTATGTATATATATGTCTATATATATATATATATACATGTACATACACGCATATCTATGTATACATATAGATATGCATATATATATATATATATATATATATATATATATATATATATATATATATATATATATATCTATGCATATCTATGTATATATATAGATATACATATATATATCTATGCATATCTATGTATTTTATGTATATATTACAGACCTCCCTGAGGTACGCGGTGAGAGCCTTCGAGTTAGACTGCCAGACGAGCTGCCCGAAGCGGCGGACGCGGGAAAAAGATTCTGGAGAGGTACAGCAGAAGCAGAAAAGGCAGGAGACTACTAGCGACATCGGATAGAGTGACTGAAGACTTTGGGTAGGCAGTGCCAGCAGCAGGGAGACTCCTGGCAGGTGCATTAGGGGAAACAGTTACCTTCGGGGTAAACCTTCCGAACGCACAGGAGGGAATGCATAGCAGCCTCTATGACTGAACACACCACCTCCGCGCTTAGAGAATCCATGCCAGCCATTGGGTACTCATGGCTGCGAGCTGCCTCGGCTGCGAGTTCAGGCTGCTATGCAATCGTGGCGAGGGTGCCTAAGAAGCGCCCACCGGCACTGGCGTGCTGTTGCGACTCTTTCTGAAATGCTGCTCCTGCCGCTGCACAGGCCTAAAATATGTGGAGGGGAGACTCCTGCCGATCATCGCTCTGCCCACGCTCGGTACGAACAAACCTGTGCGGATAACCCCCCGCACTCGCAGCGCAAGCAACACGCAAGAAGGAGCCTTCCCGCCGCAACAATGAGGCTATGGGTGCCTCAGACAGTGCATGTACAAGAGAACATAGTGAATCACCGGAAGAAGCAAAGACAACAACGTCTCTCGCTCTTGAAAAAGAGGGGGCCCCATCCAGCATGAAAAATGCCTGTCGCCCACGGGTGCCTCCTGCCGAGCGCAGGGGCCCCCCTCATGAGAGGATCTGCCCCATGGTGCTCATGACACACCTTAATTTATTGAGTATCTGGCACTAAATCTAGCATGTGCAAGCCAAAGAAGGCGCCGGAGAGCGTTAATTTCCTGCCGTTTCAGGGGAAGAGGGGGGGTCTGTCCGCTTGCCGCTGTTGTTCCGTGTTTGCAACTCAACGAGCGCGGCTGCCACCAGGATCCGCAGCGCTGGAAACGGCCGGAGAAATTCCTCTTCGTCATATAATGGCCTTTAACTTGGACTAAACGCATTTGGAGGTGATCCCTCGATTTGCCGCTCCCAGTTCTTCCAGGGGCTGTTTGACACCTCGCCTTCTGTCGGGTGTATGTACGTTCAGCGGAGAGCAGTTGGAGCGGCTGCACCTGGGGAGTTTCAGCAGTTGGCGTCTCGAAAGAAGCGCAATCATTGTCGTTTCCTTAAATACAGCCACAATGCACCCTGGACGCGCGAATTCAGCGGAACGGTCAGTTCGTCCGGCCTTTTGGATGCTCTTGCTTCGGCTAACCCGAGGTGCTGCACTTCTGCGAACCCACCGTGCCGCTTTTGGCAATGCTGCTGCGTTGGAGCTGGGAGTGGTGGTGGTGTTGCTCATGCTGATGCTGGTGCTGCTGATGCCGCTGCAGGATATGCGTCTTTGGGGGCAGCTTCGATCCTCCACACTATGCACACCTCCAGGCAGCTGCAGCCGTGCTTGCGAGCGGCGCAGCAGCAACAGTTTGGTTTGTCCCCTGTGGGGGATCCCCTGCAGATACAGGGCAGCACGCAGAAGAGAATGGACACCATCAGCGGAAGGACAAGGCTTTGCATGCGTCCACTGCTGATCGACTCGAAATGACGCGTCTTGCCGTGAAGAGCTTCTTCGGGCCGCTCTCAGGGAATGCAGTTGAGGTGGGTATACTGCCGCCGCAGCCGCTGCTCCTGTTGCTCTGGTGTTCGCAGTAAAAATCCACTCGCGCGGTGCTGCTGCCTTCTTTGCTGCTGCCGGTGCTGTCTGCGGGGCCTTGTTGCTTTTGCCCTCTTTAGAGGGGGGGAAGGCGTTTCCATGAACACTGCTGGGCTTTGCAGATTCTCACTGCGACTCCTTACGCAGGTGCTAGACATAGAAGAGCGAGCCGGCTGCTTCGTTCCCACTGTAAAGCTCCTGGACCTTCTGCAGCGGCGGCTGCAAGAACAACAGCAAGAACAACAGCAGCAACAACAGCAGCAACAACAGCAGCAGCAACAACATCAGCAGCAGCAGCCGGTGCTGCCCGAGTTGTGGCTTCTTATTGGTGCAGACTGCATCGCTTCCCTGCACAAATGGTAGCTGGCTAGGTGTAGGGGTCGTGTGGCTGCTGCAAGCGCAAGCTGCTTGTGCTGTTCGTGCGTGCGCGGCTGCCGACTGTTTGCTGCGGGCTGAAGCAGGTAGTGGTGCTGCTAGTGGTGGTTGTTGTGCTGCTGCCTGAACAGGTACGAAGGGGAGCGGCTCATGCGGACGGCTCGATTCTTAGTAATTGACAGACACGGCTTTTCTGCTCACAGAGCTGCAGGCAGTGTTGAGGTGGCGGCTGAGGAAACAGCAGAACCTCAGGCGTGTGGCAGCAGCCCTAAGAGCGTTGAGATGGTCACACAGTTGCAGCGCATGCCGCATGTACTGTGGGTAAACGAAATGCTGCAGTGCAATGAGGCTTTGTCTTTGCTGCCTCGTGTCTCCTCGTCTATCCTCCGGTGCAACCTGGCAGCCAGAAGGAAAGGGCCGCAACAGGTATGTGCGAATCTGCCGGCTCGTCCTTAGGAGCTAGTGCCTCTAGCTGGCAGTCTCGGCTTAGAATTTTCGCTCCCCCGACGGCGTTGAGCAAGCCCTAGCTCGGTGCTAGTACGAGGAACTAGGTGCTTCCGATCGTGACTGCGCGTGTGCTGCTGCTCTCCCGCAATTGCAGCTGGCTGCGTGTCTTTCTCTGACCCCAGCGGCAGTCCTCGAGTATATTGATCGGCGAAGCCTTTATCTGTGAAACGGTATTGCCGCTGTTGCTTCCCCTCTCGACGGACGTTTATCAGCTGCGCTACGCACATCCCGTTCTTCAGCGGGGGTGGGGAGGGGGGTGGGGCCCTTCTGTGCCGCGAAGGGGAAAAGAGAACGAGCCTCGATTCTTTCGTTTAGGGCTCTTGCATGGCTGCTATTCGGGTAATTTTTGAAGGGATGAGCGTTCCTCGGTGCCACGTGAGGCAGTCCCTCTCTCCGGATGAGCACGCTTCAGAGTGTGTTGCCTTCAGCGGCGGTTCCCCCTCGGGTGTACCGACAGCTCGGGCGCTGGGGGTGAAGGGAGGCGTTAGCTTACACTGCAATTTCCCCCTGCAGTTCCTGGGGGTGTGTGCAGGGTGTGTGAGCTGCAAGCGGCAAAAGGGGCATCTGGCTCCGCCTTCATTTGTAGCCGCAACAGCCAGTAACTGCCCATATGCCCTACCGACTTTTCAACTACACAGAGTAGACCGGGTAAGCTCAGCTGCAGCCAACAGAGGAGGCACAAGGGGCATCGCTGCGGCCAAGACTACACCCCGGCTCTTTGCATGTTTTTTCTCTGCTTGCTTTTTGACGCCTTGACAAAAGGCTCTAATGCGCGGCCAGAGCCGCGCTCTCCCTCTAAGAAATACCCAGGGAGACATTTCACTCCCGCTCGAAGATACACTCAATAAAAAGTCATTCAACATCTCCCCACAACCTCCATGTTCTCTCTGCATGCACCCCTCGGACCGGTCCCGACACGAAAAAAGAGGGGCCGTTGGCTTGCACGTTGCCGCACTCGCCAAGGAATTTCAAACCTTCCCAGCTAGCTGCACATGGCAGCACCCCAAAACATCCGCTGCCGCATTGTGTCTTGGCGCATCCAGCCAAAAGGACTTAGCAATAAAGACGAGGCATGACCAGAGAAGCCAATGGGTAGATCGATTCTTTTTTAAGTTCTAAATACATGCCACAGCACGAGCAGTACAAGTGCCGAACTGTAGCTTAGCCCGCACCAACCAGGTGTCTCTCGAGGTGTCATGCAGTTTCTTGCCGCACACCAGCTAGCCATAGGGGGACCTAGGAAGCGAACAACCACAAGCGTCCGTCTTGCTCTGTCGACGGGGCAGCAGATCGCTTCGATGCGTTCCTCCCGCCATGCGAGACGCTGCAAGCAAGCGGGTATGTGCCCCCCTCAAGGGCTACTACGGAGAATCTTGTCTCGTGAAAGAGATGCCTGTGCGCGCGTCTCAAAACATGCCATTCGAGGCTCCAAAAAAGCCTCGTTTCTACCAGTACCTTAGAAAGTGTGTCGTGGCTTGTACAATTCCCCAGCAAAACCCCGCTACATGCGATGCCGTGTGGGCTGCCGCCTCTGGAATTTTTTCCCGTACGACACAAAATCTTCTGCTTCTGTTGTTGCTGCAGCAAGCAAAGCAGCTTGACACAATTAAGGCGCCTCGCGCTTGCGGAGGGCAGCAGCGGCGCGGCACTCCTCCTGCTACGGTGCGGTGTACATGCAGCGGCCGCTGCAACACCAACAGCGACAGCTCTTGAAGGACGCTTGCGAGTCAGGCTTTTCAGCTGCAGAAAGGGCTGGTGATGCTTAAGCATCTCTGGTCAATCTTGGATACTCATAGGAGCTTTGATTCTAAAGTGCAGATGCCTGCATGCAGCATACAGGGCCTTGCTGCAGTCCGTGCTGCTGCTTTGAGGGCTGTCGGCGAAATACTGGTGGCTGCTGCGGCTGCAGCACAACGGGTGCGCTGGACGTCCCCAAGATGATCATTGGCTGCTGCAGTCCTGCGAATGCCGCAGAGTGGGTAGCTGGTGACTGCAGCATCACAGCGTGTTGCTGCGGCAGTGCCATCCCGTAAGGATTTGCTGACTGCTGTATCACAATGGGCTGTTGCTGCTGCAGCAGGTGCGCACTCCCATAGGAAGGCAGCGCCATTGCCACTGATGGACCGTACTGCAAAACACCCTGCACCCCCATGTTTGGGGTGGCTGGGGGTGCAGCCGATGCTGCGCCCTGTAGAAGCATGTGGTGCTGTTGCGGCAGCATGTGGGCTGTCACTGCTCCCATAGCTGGCTGCTGCGCTACTGCAAGATGCTGAGGCAACTGGGCTTGTTGCGACAGCAGGAGACCTTGTTGCTGCGGCACGTGTTGCTGCGGCACGTGTTGCTGCATTGGAATGCATGTTGCCGGACCGGCGTAATGCACAGGCTCGGGGGCTGCTAGGTGTGCTGCTGCAAGATGCTGAGGCAGCATTTCAGCATAGGCGCGTTGTGGCTCCGGCTTGTCGAAAGCTGGGGGCAAGAAATGCATGCTGTGTGCGTGGCACGCGAATGGGGGCGGGTGAGGGATGGCAAGAGGCCCATGTATTCCGCCTGGCGCGTATCCATCCGCCAGCTTTCCAGCATGAGCGCACTGAGGGTGATGCAGGTGTGGCAGCCCGCAGTGGATCCCTGGGGGGGGGTGCAGGAGATGGTGGTGATGGTGGTGTTGCAGGTCCTCCAGCTGTTGCTGAACCAGTTGCTGCTGCAGCAACTGCTGCTGCAGATGCAGCGCTGTCTCTGGGGGGCAGATCAGAGTCCCTTCAATGTCAACCGTCATGCGCTTTTCGCGGTCACGTTGTTGAGCCCTCCTTTCGCTGTGTTCCTTACGGCGAGACATATTCCCTGCAACACGAACCTTGACCCCGAGCACGAACCTCCGCGCGAAAGAACGAAGTATAACCCCTTGGGGAACACGCGTTTATATATATATATATGTGCCCTTCTGGCAGAAGTGGCACTTATGCGCACTCCAAGGGAAGGATGCGATTGCAGCGGGGAGGCCGTTTCAAGACTCGCGAGTGCATCGTTTCGGCGTCGCTGCCGCGAGGAGAGCTGCCGCTGCCGCGGGCTTCCTTCGAGCTTCAAGAAGCTTCGAAAAGTACAAAAAGCATAAAATCTTGGGAGGAACTAGGGAGAGAGGACGCCAGCAGCGAAACAGCATCTGAAGGCACCGCCTTGGCATCTAAATGCGGTGGACGTTGGGAGGCAGCAAATAACGGACAGTTCACAAGTTACCTCTGTGCTCTTCTCTCTGCCTCAGAAGACGACACAGACAAATCCCAAAGGCCCAAAACAGTGCGTTAAAAGGTATACACGCGAGCAAAAAGGAAAACACCGGCCCGAGCTACCTGTGCTGCAGGCAAACGCTGCTACCGTCAAGGCCGCTGGCGCCTCAGAGTGACCTTCCGTCGAAAAGGCAGCAAAGCAACGAGCCCCCTGCGGGCTTCTCGAGGCGTCTTCGGGAGACGAATGCTTATCTTATTAATATAAATGTGCTTTTTCAGTGTTTTTCGTGGTATTTTCAGACAGAAACCCATCCAGAAGGCCTCTCGGTGCGTGCCCTTCCCCCTCCGGCCCCCCACCGAACCCACTACTTGCGCGGCAGCGAACTCAGTCGGCTGCGGGTCGTGCTGCTCCCATAAATTTTTCTTGACCTTTTGCGCTTTTTCTCCGCAGATGCGCCTCAACCCTCTTCTCCATCTCCCTCTATCTGCCTACCTACGTCCTACCACCTGCGGCGCTCCCCTTGGCTCGCCTTTCCACCAGGCATCCACGCGCAAATCTAATTGAAGTCGGAGCTCCTGCTTCTCACCCGCACTGCACAGGAGGCGTATGTGCAGCTGCCCCTCCTCCTGCGCCGATCTTATCTTTTAAAAAGGTGTTCTGGGCATCTCCCAACTGCCTCCCGAAACAAGACCACCGTCCAGCACCGCCTGGCTAGCTGTTCGACTAAAATCTTCACTTACAAAGGCGTGTGCAACCGCTCGCTTCGCACACGCGCACCCTAGTGCTACAATTAAAAAAACGCCATCTGTTTTACAGCCCTTCCCCCTCTGCCCCCCTCCTCACCCTCTTCTTCCCCCTTCCCCCTCAGGAATATATCTCCTGTTTTACACCGGGGCACTTTCTCCTACAGAGGCCTTGTGGCTCGCAAATAAACACCCCTTCCGGCCGAATCAACAGGCCTAACTGCGCAAACATGCGGGGGTACGTCCCTTCACCTGGGAGGGCTTCGCCTGCTGCCGAATCGGTGCCTCTGCTGCTGTTGCTGTTGCTGCTGTGGCTGTTGCAGTGGCTGCTGCTGCTGGTAGTGCGGGTGCTGTTGTTCGTAATGCTGATGCACGTAATGCGGGTGTTGCTGCGTGGGGTCGGCGATCGGCTGGTGCTGCCCGTGGGGGCCTCTTCCCTCCCGCCTTTCTCGCGGCACAAGCAGCAACTCCTGGTGCTGTCGTTCCTCGCCTTCAATCCGTGGGTGGCTTTTGCCCTCAACGTCTTCTCTCTTGCCGCTGGCGCTGTCTGCGGCCTCTTCCAAAATTTGCGTCTCGAGCAGTTTCCGCAAAGCCGTGTCTGGCCTGTTGGAGGTGTGTGGAATGAGGTAGTCAACGACCTTGAGGATTTCAGGGTGCTCGTGCACTTCCCGGGGGGTACATACACCCAGCACCGGCAGATTCAGCCCGTATAAGTAGGGCGCGAACGCAACGCAATCCTGGCATATTAACGCACTGTAGTGCGCAGGCGCAGCAGACAGCAACTGCCGCGTGTGGGGCCCCACAGCAGCGGCTGCTGAAGCCGCTGCAAGGCCTGGGAAATGACGCTGGAGAGCTATGTCGGTTTGGTGTCGACGACCAACAACCAGCAGCTTTCCCCCCCCCCGCTTCAGCTGCAGCAACAACTTAAACGCCCTCTTATAGTGCTGCAAGCAACTGTAAGGGTCGAACAAATAATGCGAGGTCAAACACCCCCCAACACGCGCAATGTTCATCTTCTCGGCTTTGCGTAGCAGCACAGTCCGCTTGTGGCTCGTCCGACTACTGCTATAGCCGTTTTCCCTACACACGGCTTTTTCTCGTCTAGCGGCAAAGAAGAGGCTGGATGCGTGATGCCACGCACAAACACCCCTCTTAGAGAGGGCTCTGCCACGGCCGCAGCTGCAAATGCTACTACTAATGCATACAATACTGCTCCTCCTGATGTTGCTGCTGCTAATGCATACAATACTGCTCCTCCTGATGTTGCTGCTGCTAATGCATACAATACTGCTCCTCCTGATGTTGCTGCTGCTAATGCATACAATACTGCTCCTCCTAATGTTGCTGCTGCTAATGCATACAATACTGCTCCTCCTGATGGTGCTGCTGCTAATGCATACAATACTGCTCCTCCTGATGTTGCTGCTGCTAATGCATACAATGCTGCTCCTCCTGATGTTGCTGCTGCTAATGCATACAATACTGCTCCTCCTGATGGTGCTGCTGCTAATGCATACAATACTGCTCCTCCTGATGCAAGCGCTGCTGCAGGCGTAATGCCACCCTTCCTCTCTTCCCCGCGCTTTCCCCAACGCCGCTGCGTATCCTCAAGCCTCAGCACAAGCGGCAACGTTGTTGTGTTTTTCTCCCCCTCCCTACTAGAAACCTCCGGCTATTGAATGACGCTGGTATTGGAGATCGGACATACGGGCACGGCTCACCAGCGGAAGCTGCTGCCGCTGCGGATTTGTGCGCAGCACCGAGCCACACAGAAGCACATTGCTTTCTCCGAGGGGAGCGTGGCAGCAGCTTCTTGTTTGTTGCTGTTGGAAAGGGAGAGGCAGAGGCAAGGCGCTTCTAACGCCACTGTACGTACTTCAAGGCGCGCGTAGTAAGGCGGTGCACTGCGACTCAGGTTCGTGCTGCCGTCCTTACCAACTGCTGGAATCGCTGGCTGCTGGAGCTGCCCTGCTGCGGCAAGAGCTTCTAGTGTTGTTGCAGATGTACCTGTCTGCTGTTGCTGGTGCTGTCGCTCGTGCTGCAGATGCTGGCTGCTGGTGTGGAGCAAACAAGAGCTGCTGGAAAGAAACGGTGGTGTAACTGCTGCTGCTGCGGAGCTGCTGCTGCGGAGCTGCTGCTGCTGTCCTTTGTGCCTCTTCCAGTAAAAGAGCAACGTCTGAAAATCTTCCGCCTTCTTCTAGTGAAAAAAGGAAGATCGGATGCGCTATTACGGCTGCAGCAGCTGCTGCTCCTGCCTTGCATGCGACAGCCCCCCCCAGCATAACGGAAACACTGCACTCTCGTCTACGAACACCTTCTTCATGAAGATACACCAATATTATGGGGCCTTGTGGGATAAAAGACTCCTCTGTTTCCTAGCCGCCACTAACCGTGTACTTCCCCTCATGCAACAGGCTTGGTTCGCCTCACTGTGGTTTCAGCTGAAATCAGCGGAGCACCTGGCCACACAAGTTTCCCCCAAATAGAACATATGTCTTTACATTGCTAAACCAATTTGTTTGCCGCTGGAGAAGCGAGCCAAGGTTTTACCGGCAGCAACACGGCGAGAACACGCGGCAGCAGCAGCGCTTGCCCGTAGGTACACCCCAACCAAGCATTCAGGCAGCAACAGCCCCTCCCTTTAACAGCGCGCAGACTTCGCCACAGTTGCACACTACACTTCCCTCATGCCTAGCGGAGATGAGAGGAACGGAGTGCCGCTGTTGCCGCAGCAGCAGCAGCAGTTTCAGCACCAACAACTGCAGCAACAGCAACAGCTGCAGCAACAGCAACAGCTGCAGCAACAGCAACAACCGCAGCAACACCAACAACTGCAGCAACAGCAACTGCTGCAGCAACAGCATCAACTGCAGCAGAGTTCCCAGCAGCTGCTGAGTCATTCTCATCAGCAGGTGAAACAGCACATGCAGCACATGCAACCGCAGCCGCAACAGCAGCAGCACTTGCAGCAGCAACTGCTGCATTGGCAGCACCAACTGCAGCAGACAGCTGCCCCTGCTTCGCAGCGGCAGATCCTGCTGTCTCAGCAGCAGCACATTCAACAACAGCAACTGTTGCAGCAGCAGCGACTGCGTGTTGCTCAGCAGCAGCAGCAGCTGCAACTGCATCTGAAGCAGCAACAGCTGCAACAGCAGCCACAGCAGTATTTTGGTGGGCTGCCGCTTAGTGCACAGCAGCAGCAGCCGCCGCAGCCCATGATGACGCCACAGCAGCAGCAACAGCAGCACCAACTGCAGCAGCAGCAACAGCAGCACCAACTGCAGCAGCAGCAACAGCAGCACCAACTGCAGCTGCAGCAACAGCAGCACCAGCTGCAGCTGCAGCAACAGCAACAGCAGCTGCAGCAACAGCAACAGCAACTGCAGCAACAACAGCACCTGCAGCAACTGCAGCAGCAACAGCAGCAACAACAGATGTACATGCGCACACCGACGATACCAACTGCAAGTGGGCAAAAGCGTTGTGTGTGGCGTGAAGTGTAGATTTTGCATAGAAGCACCACCAGGTTCATGGGAAGGTGGTAGGAAGAGGCCTCCCAGCCTCCATCTTCCTGCATATCCAGCTGGTGTGACTGCGATTTATTTTTCGTGTAGAAATCGTTACGCTGTTTGTCTCCGCAGCTCCACTACCAGCCTACTGCACTCCCAGTGAGGGGCCCCCCCCTCACGGGCGTAGCATGCCTGCCCCTGCAAGTCCAACGCTTGCAAGCCAAGGCAGTCGCAGCAGGATGCCTCCTTCTGGCACCAGCAGTGGTCGCTCCACCGGCAGCGCAGTCGGTTCAGCAGCGAGAGGAAGCTCTATCCAAGCCTTCAACAAGGGATCTCCCCGACAGCAGCAGCAGCAGCCCGTATCCAGTCGTGGGGGAGCCACCCACGCACGGGCAGCAAATGCATCGGGGGGGAAGACTCCCCAGCCTGCCCCCTCCCCCCCTCGTGCTGCGACTGCTCCTGTTGCAGCTGCTTCTCCACCCGCTGCTGCCGCTGCTGCTGCTGCTGCTGCTGCTGCATGCGGGGGGCAAGCGCCTCTTCCCACCCTCTCGCAGCAGCAGCACCAGCAGGAGCCTCCCCTACGCCGTCTCATCATGGCGCGAAGGGCGAGACTCCGTCTCAATCCTCTGTTCAGATATCTGCAGGGGCCCCTCAAGGGGGGGCCCCCTCCCGCGAAGGGGCCCCCCCCAGGAGACACCGGGGCGCAGCAGTCCAAACCGACGAGCCCTGCCCAGCAGGGGGCCCCCCCCGCTGCCATGGGGCCCCCCGAGGCAGGGGGGCCCCCCGAGGTGGCATCCGCCTCGGGGGAAGACGCAGGCAGCGCTGCAGGAGCGCCAGCTGCTCCTCCTGCGCCTCCTGCCACTCAGTCCTTCATCAGAGGCTGTGCTACTCCCGTAGACATAGACAAGTTTTACGAAGCCGCTGCTGCAGCTGCCTCTGCAGGCGCGGCTGCAGCAGCCTCAGCAGGCGTGATGACGACGGGAAGCGCAGCAGCAGCACCAGGCGGTCAGGCAGGAGAGGGGCAGAGCTGCGTTTCTTTGCTGGATAAGGCTATGCCAACCGCGGCAGCGACGGCTGTGAAGGAGGATTCCCTGCAGTGGTGCGTGCAGCAGATACAGCAAGTCTTGCAGCAGCATCCGGCGGCGGCAGCTGCCGCTGCAAAGCTGCGGGGGAACCGCCCAATGCTGCACCAAGCAATGTATGCGCATGCAGCCGCGGAGGCTCGCGGGTGGGCCCCGGGGGGGGGGCCCCCCACGGGGCCTTCAGGGGGCCCCTCACCTCCGCGAGATGCTTTGGGACGGTGGATGGACGTCGAGATGGCGCCACCCCCCCAGCAGCTGGAAGAAGTGCTGGTAGTGTTGGCTGCTGCAGTTAAAGTCTACGTTGTGGGTAAGCGGATCGTTGCGCTCTCCGGCAAGCCCTGCGGCTGAGGGAGGGCCTGCACTCTCCGCTGCGTGCCGGTGGCTGTGTGTGTGCAGCAGCCTCTGTCTTTTATCGCGCGTGTTTGCTGTGCTGTCTTTTGGCATGCAGAGCTGATTGCAGCTGCAGAGCAGCTGGAGGCGCTGGAGTTCGAGCAGTGTGGACCCCTTCTGGGGCCTATGCAGACGAGCTCTGAGGGCACACCTAGTAAAGCTCTAAAAAATTCCCAGCCGGAGGAGCCTCTCCCCATGCGCGTGCTGCTGCCGAATCACGTTCTCGAGGCAGCAAAGTCGCTGCAGCTGCTTTAGGACGTACGAAGTTGAGGGGGCAGGGGAGGCGCTGAAAAATCCGAGTTTTCTTTCGTGACCGTGCGTTGCAGTGCAGTCAGGGAGTGGGTGGCGCTGGGGTATGTCCAGCGGCGTTTGCAGCAGCGGCTAGGGGACGTGCTACATACGCTTTTAGAGGGTTGCTTTAGGCTGCCTGCTTTGCGTTTCTCCGCCCTGCCAGGCGAAACCGACTTTTAGCTAGCTCCTTAGCTAGCTACGGGTAGGCAGGCCCTCAGTAGGAGGAGGACTCTTAGTTTGGAGCCCGTTGGCAATCGATGGCTGCTGCCCTTGTGGCGCAAGAAGGTTACGGCGTCGGCTGATCTCGACGCAGGCAATAGATAGCTGGACCCCAAACAAATCGTGTTGAGCGGCTAGAGATAAAGACGACGGCCCTTTTGCCATAGAGCAAAGAAAGCAGGAAGTCGCAAAGAAAGCAGGAAGTCTGAAGCGCATTTGACTCCATGCATGCGGAGGGCCACCCACCTGTTGTCTTTTTACGAAGGCAGCTGGTTGGTGCTTGGCTAAGGCTTTTCACGCCGGATCGAACTTCTACGCCCGCGGACAAAACATGGCGCTAGCTTTTTTTGTCGCTAGCGAACTAGCACCGCCTCGGGGAGGGTAGGAGTGGCGAGGGGGGGAAGGGCGGGTGTCAGAGGCGGGAAGAACGGGCTGTGGGCGGGAGACTGGTGCATGCAGAGCAGCCAGCTTCTTTGCTGCTCTATCTCTGGTTTGTGCTGTCACGTGGATCGCTGTATAAGACCAGCGCAAAAAGCCTGCTTATTCATGCACATACTTCAAGGAGCAGGTCGTCTTATGAAAGGGCGCCCGACACTCCCTGGGGCTTGCTGATGTTTCGTCCGCCTTCCAGCGAGCCAAGTTACTCGTAAGCTCTTTTCTACGCCCCTTTATAGAGGTAGCTTAGAATCAGTAGAGAAACGATCGATTCATTTGGCTGTTCGGATGCCTTACTTCTTTCATAGCACTGTTGGCTCGATAGAAGAAGAAACAGTGCACGCCATGCGTGCGCGCTGAGTGCTATGTGCAACTTGCTGCGAGTACTCCGAGTTTCTAGCGGATGCAGCGACGCCTCCCCTAGAAGCCTTTTTCTTCTACCCCCCTCTTGCCCCCCTGCCCCTCGTGCCGGGGATTACGGGTGGTTTAGCGTTGTAGAGAATGGCGAGAGTTCCTTCGCAGGAACCATCGGCAGCTTTCTGTCAAGGTGGCTTAAGCGTCTAGAGTGCAGAGACTTTGATTGGAGACCTCTTCCTGGTCTCCTTCGCCTGCCTGCCCTTGCTCTGCTCCACATGCCGATCGCTATTGGATATCCCTTGTAAAAATTGCCTATTTCGCGCGACCCCACTTTCTACGGCTGCTGCTGGAAGTCTAGAGGACTTTTATCTGACTTTTTCTTCAGCGGCATCTGGCGTCTTCAGCTGGATGCAGCTCAGTGCAGTCGGCTCTTTGTCAAGGGTTTTGCTTTCACGCGCAAGAGCCCACTGGCTTTATATGCCCCTGGTTTACGGGTGCCTCGTGTCTAGGTATTTGAGCCTGAAGCGTCGACAAGAGCTTTGGCAAGACTTCCCTTGTGGCAATGCTAGCTAGTAGTGTTAAGGCCTCTCCGTGTTGGGGTGGAGGGGTGCTGTCTTTTCTATGCGGGATGCGTGAAAGGGCACAAAAAAATATGAGCTTCTCTCTCCCCTCCTGCAGAGCCCAGCTAATGCACAAACTCGTATTCGCCCCTCTGCAAGCCAGCAGCCTCTGCCAAGCAGGGATTGCCGTAAGTTTTGCCGGTCTTAATATCCACCACTGGGCGGTACTCCAATGTGCAAGCGACGGCTGAGAGGCAGATACAGATACAAAGCAGCACTAGTCTTTCAAACGGATACTTCAAAGTTTGCCCATGACGCAAACAGAGAGACACCACAGGTGCGCTGGGCAAGTGCAGACAAGCCTTTGAAAGACCACGGGAGGAAAGACATAGCGGCAAGTTACATTCCTGACCTTCTTTCTCCTCTTCCGTAAGAGGACCCCTTAACACAGCCTCCAGTTCTTCCTGAGGCGTCAGTGGTCGGGAAGGGCTTGATAGATGCTCTTCAGACGCCATTGCTACCAGCGCGCAGCCAGCGAGGCACACAAACATCAGGCGGAGAGAATGCATCGCTACCTCGTGAGTACGCAATGCTTCCTATCCTGTGAACAGCGCCGCCACACCCGACAGGATATGCACAGATCACTACGCATGAGGGAAGTAAGAAAGCCCTCTTGATCAGCATTGCACGTTCCCCGGAAGGTTGCGCAAGACGGCTGGTGCAACCGCACGAAGGTAGGTAACAGCAGCGGCAGCACCGACAAAAGCAGCAGTAAAAACAACAAATGTGGCTCACACAGGCAGTCGTGGAGCTTAATGGCTGCTTTAGCGTTGCGAGTCTTCACAGGCCACCGATACGCTTGAAAACGGCCGTGCCGTCGCCAGGGGAGAAAAGGGCAGAAAGGAGGAACAGCGAGAGTAAACCAGTAAAAGTGCGCGAATAAAAGCAAACGACTTGACTTTAGTCGATACAACAGGAAAACGGAACGTAACTCGCGAGAAGGATGCCACCTTCCCGTTGCCGCTCAAGGGCTGGCAAGATCGGTCTGCTCTACGACATCACAGAATTACAGTGCGCTGCTGTTGCTTTCCTGGTACATTCCCGGTTTGAGATGCCACTTGATCGCCTCAGGTTTTGCGTAGTCAAAACAGATACTAATGCGATATCAAGGTCTGAAAGAGGATGCGGGCATGCGCAAACCAACCATCGAAGGCCATCGGTCAGTTAGGGGTTATCTCGGCGGCAGGATGCAGCCGTTCGTATCCCAACAAGCTGAGCAGAAACTGTTAACAAGCCCCTTTAGCTATTTTACATGCTAAAGAATCTCCTGAAACTGCACACCTGTGGGCGCGTTCAAGCTGACATCCTTCTAGGGCTCTCAGCAACACCGGTGCGCAACACGTCACCCGACTAACGGTGTCATCCCTCTTCGTAGATGTTGTGTTTCTAAAGGACTTCATCGCTCGTGCCCTCTAAAAATAGCTCAGAACACGCGGAGCTTCAAGTGTAGGTTGCCAGGCCCCCCTACGGCAGGCGCGTGTGCTTTTGATGGTCACCCCGATGGACAGAGGGACCCCTGAAGGGTCAATACATCAAAGCATTCGCTGGGGTGCACTTTGGGGGTTTCTTCGTTCTGAAGACACGGAGTTACTTCAGGTGGCTTAAGGCCAGGGAGCTCTCCAGTCGCCCCCGTTGGTATCCTCGACAGGGTGCTACCTGCATCTGCATTGGGTGCGGGAGTGCTGCAGTGGCCTCGCCCCCTAAATATAGCGCCACTTAGAGGGCGCCTAGTCCCTAAAGCACTTGAATCCCTTTTATACTGAGTAGATAGAGGATGTTTCAGTTGGCGGACGCCTCCCTGGGCCGCTAGTGCGCCTCCTCGCCGTCACGTAGAGCCTTTGGCCCTAACAGCTACACATTTGCTATTGGAAGCCGCCCTGATAAGTGGTGCGAGCATCTCGTTTCATGGTCGCGGAAGATCCGAACGGTCTTCCTGCTGGAGTTGCCGTCCTGAGCCCTCGTGATGCGTGTACTAGAAAGCAACAGCTGCTGCAGCTGCATCTTTTCCGACAGCCCAAGCTGCTGCAATGCAGAAACTTGGCCCCTAGGGAGCAACAAAGTGTTGAGGGAAGATACTTTGGCAACTAGGCTGCAGTGAACCAGTTCGAGATTGAAATGCTTGGGGTGTCGGCCTTCACGAAATGCCACCAGCCCTTCGGAATGAAGAGACAGTCCCCTGGGCCTAAGAGCGCGTCGTACCCCTCCGTCTCCGTGAAAAAGCGTCCAAAGCTCTCCTCATACTCCTTGTAGACCTCTGAAGGGAGACTCTCTGCCTCAACTAAAGAACTCGGAAGACTCGACGTGTTGCGAAGCAGCCCCTGTAGCAGCAGCAGCAGCAGCACCCCCTCCCCCCCACACACAGCGTACATAAAACGACCCTCGCTCCTCCCTCCTCTGCCCCCCCCGCGCTCACTCCCGCTTGCACCACCTGTCACCTTAGCGGTGAGACCTAAAGACGCCTCTCATGCACACTGTCACTCATCGACAGCGAGCGCCTTTTTTGGACTCAACCCGCATGGTGAGCCATGGCCACCCACACACATGTACTGAGCCGCTCATGCATGCAACAGGCCCTGTGCTCTCGGAAGGCACGTGCCTTCCAAGGGTCTTTACAGCTTTCACTGCTCAAGACTTTGTAGAGCCACTAGAGCTGACGCGCGCAGAAGAGGCACTACGGATTCGGCTGGGCGTATATACGGAGAAGGCACAAGAAACAAGAGGAGCGAATGACCTGTTGAAAGGGATACAAGGCCTCCGTTTGATTGGGAGAGAAGAGCTGCATGCGTTTCCAACCGACAACCTGCACGAAGAGATTCTCGCTGTTGTCGGTATGCAGAGGCGACACCGTTCCCGCGGGGCCCACCCAAACCAAGCGCGTTGTCTCTGTCTCTGCGCCTGCACAACCACAGCCATAGCAGCGGTGCGACAGCAGCAGTCAGATCGTGCGTGGCAGAGCAAATTGACGAGAAAATGGAAGTCGTCAACTGAATTCCCTGAGCCGAGTGAACGTACACGCCTCGATAAGATCTGGGAGCGGTGCCTCCTTCGCAAGGAAGGGCAAGTGCTCTAGCAGCGCATGCTGCGCTAAATACCCAACGGGGCCCCCAGCGGACGACGGGGGCCCCTCTGTAGCACACATGGCAGCGGCACACAGAGTCAGCCGTCCTTGATGTTGCGCGCAACTCCCCATTAGCGGCGGCGACCCGCCAGGCGTCCCCTACTCCCCTTCTTCCCCCAACTGTTGCCGCTCTCGAAAAACAGAAGCAGCAGCTGCGGAGCAGCTCCCCCAGGCTCTACAAGGCACATGCGCAGCCCTCGCTGCATGCACGCCCTCGTCGCCTGTACAGCAGCGCATGCAACGCAAGTTACTCCGCGGTGCGATAAACTCGTTGTAGAAATCTTCGAAAGCCATCAGCCGCTGCGTCCAGCCCTCCTCCGCATACGAGCTCCCTAAATCAACAGCAGAATCAGCAACGGCTCCAAATGGCAGTAACAGCGAGACGTGCATGCACGCCGAGGGGATCCCGTTGGCTTGCCGGGGGGAGGTGGGAGGCGGCGAGGAGGAGAGACTCAGACAGCAGTCGCAGTCAACACCAGACAGACGGAGACGCTGCACTCCACCAGGCAGCGGCAACGGCTGCAGACGCCAGCGCACAGATTCGACTCCGCGTCAGACAGCAGAGCCTTCGCGGCACTCACCAATTTCCACGGGAACAAGGCGATGCCCCAGACGTCTCCGGAGACGGCTCCAATCTGACCACAGCTTGACGCAAGGCCATGTTCGCGCCGCTCCTGAATCCGCACCGAACGAAACCTCTACCCCTTGACATTTAGCCTCAGGCTCCAGCCACCTGTCCTCAATAATGTCACAGGCCAGCGCCGCACTTACCGCGGAGGATCAGGGGTTTCTGCTTGTGCAGATAAGACACCAGAAACTCCTCGAAGTCAATAGCTGCAGAGAGACAGACAGACGGGCAGGCAGGCAGAGCATCCGCGCCAAACCCTAGCCGTGCAAGCAGCCTCTCTAGGACTGACCAGAGAAGAACTCCCCCAGGCCCTTCTTCGCGAGTCGCAGGCAGGCAAACACAGCGAAGGCAGCAAGCTGTGGCAAAGAAGCTCTACCTGTCCTTTCCTCCACGGAACCTCGCCGTCTGCGAATGAGCACCTGAGGCAGATCCGAATGCTCGTGCGCCGAAGCCTCGCCAAGAGCTGTCTTGAGGCTCTCCGCGTCTTCAGAGCCTCGGGGGATCTCCCCCCCCCCTTCCTGGCACGAGGCGACAACGGCTTCGCAAGACGCAGCCAAGCGCCCAGGCACGGCAGCGTCCCTGCTGCTGCTGCTCCCACCACTACCACGGGTGTTTGGCGAGGCGTTCCGCTGGCGCTGCTGCTGGAGCTTCAGCAGCTGGTCTCGCAGATCGTCGAACGCAGCAGCGGCAGCCGTAAGGGGCCCGTAGAGGCGAATCTTGGGGCCCCCCATAATAAGGCCTGCCTCGCGAGCACGCCGCACCCGCACGCCGTAGAGCCTCGATCTCACAGGAAAGAAGGGAGCCAGGAGGCTGTAAGTCACAACAGGGAGGGAGACAAAGGAGCGGCGCTCACCCAAATCCACATATCGAAATCCAAGGCGCAGACCCTCTTCCGCCGTCTGCGACAGATCGGCATGCACCGCTTCCGACGCTGTCGCCGTCCTGTCTGCCGCAGGAGCCGCTGGCGGGACTGTTGCCTGTGGCGCACTTCCCGCTGCTGCGTGTTTTTCCGCCGCAGCAACCGCCACAGCGGCACTCGAGACGTAGCAGAAGCTGAGGAGAATGCAGGCAACGGCAAAGGCCTCACGGCACCAGAGCGGCACGGCTTCCCAGTGGCCAGTGTGCAGCCTGCGGAGCATCGCACGCCCAGGCGAAGCGCGGAAAAGTCTCGAAAAAAGTGCCAACTCCAGTGCGAAAAAGGCAACAGGAGGGTCACATGTACGGCTGCTGGAGGGGGCCCCTCACCGGGTCCACGAGAGTTCGTGGAGGTTCTTAGAGGCCTCGTGAAGCGCCTCAAGAGCAGCGCGTTCTTCGGCTGAAGAGAGCTCTTTCCCGCAGAGTCGGCTTGCACTGCTAATGCGCGGCTGCTCGGGAGACCACCAGACAGGTCCCTCCTTGCTGAACAAGATCTCCGGCCCTTCGGAGATGCCTCGAACAGTGCAGAGGCCTTCTGTGGCAGCTTCCTGCAGAAGCGCGACAAGCCCTCCTTCCTGCAGCCGCGGAGGAGGTGAACGCAGGAGGGCAGAAGCAGCCCAGAGACAGCTGCTAAGAGACCAGCGTTCCGAAGGAGCTACTTCGGCCCCCCCCCCTGCAGAAGAATCCGAATCGCAGGAACGGCAGAAATACGCTGCAGGGCAGGGCTGCGTAGCCGGGAGAAGAAGCAGCAGACTCTGAAGCCGCCACGGCAAAAGGCAGGCAACGAACCGCAGAGGCGGATACCACGACAAAGGCAGGCAACGAACCGCAGAGGCGGATACCACGACAATGCGGTGATCCAAGCCTACGTCTTATTACGCATCCCGAAAGATCGCTGGGCTTTAGGTTCCGCTAGGGAAGCGGAAGGCGAACAATGCAGTGCCTCGACGAAAGCAAAAGGTGTAGCAGCAAAAACAGCGGCAAAAACAGCGGCAGCAGAGTAAACTTGCCCGCTGAAATCTCGTCTGCGAGGGTCTGCATCTCCTCGGCAGTTATTCCTGCGGCGGCGCAAAGGCTCCTAAAGGCCTCTCTAAGCCCAAGGGGAAACAAGCCAATAGGGGGGCCCCTCGCCTGGTTAATGGAGGGACTCTGCTGGGGGGAGGGCCCGGAGGGGGCCCCAGGGGGGCCCTCTCGTGCCTCCAGCGCTCTCCGTACCGGCGCAGACTCAGCAGAATGAGGCTGTTGAATCGGTTCCCCAGGTGGCCCTTCCAGAGGGGGCCCCCGCAGTGGAGCGCTGTCTGAGCAGGGGCACCCTTCCATGAGATGCTTCCTCTACACTGCCTGGCTGATAGCGGCGAAACCAGGACTGTTGAGGAGCAGCCACTGGCGCTCAGGGTACTGCAGAAGGGTCAAAGGCATGCCTCGGGGATTGGAGGCGCCGGAAGATCAAGGGAGTGACCGCAGCAGGAAGTGTCGATACACCCCGTCAGCAAAGCGGCACACAGGCACCCGAAAGGGCCCTCTTGACTCTCTTCTTGGTTGTGAAACGAAGCCAATTGGTTTGCAACACTATTTCGAACTCACCACGGCTGTAGGCTGCCTCAATGTAGGGCCCCTACGGGGTCGGTTTCCCACCAGGGGCCCTCGCGTTCTCGGGGGGCCCTCCAGTTCCTCGACCGCCCAAATGGCTCCTTCTACCCTTAACGACCGCCCCAAAAGCCTCATAAGGATCCGTATACGCCTTTTTGAACATCATTTTCAACGAATAAGAGGCGATTGGAGCCTCTTTATAGGGCTCCGCGGGGTCTTCCTGCGGGGCAGCTGTCTGTCCACCAGCCTTCCAGAGAGGACCTTATTCACCAATGGCTGGCAGCGAAGCAGCAGCAGCACTTGTAGCCGCGTGAACGTGTAAGCATCCTGGCGACGCGCTTTCTAGCCAGATGGAGAGCTTGCCAGCTGAGCGAACGTCTCCCTCCCTTCCGGAGGGGGCGTTGTTGATTCTCGCCGGGGGGGCCCTTGGCTTTGCTGCTGCGCACGCGCATGCTTCTGCCGCTGCCGTGTGGCGGCTGGCGCGCCAAGCCTGCGGACTGTACACGGAGGAAGGCCCAAAGTCATCTTCCCCCAGCAGCAATAGCGGCGATTGCGCAAGCGAAAACGACAACACCAGCAGCAGCAGCGGCACAGAGGCTATAGGCTTCCAGCCGTTGTTTGTTGATGCAGGAGCCATGGTGCAGAAGCGGCGACCGTGCCTCCTGCGGCTGGCAGTAGAAGCGTCGGCTACAGCCGAGAAAGGGGCAGCAGCAGTTCGTGCAGAGGGCTGCTCGTTTCTGTGTCTTCTTTCGAGTCGCCAGATACACAGGCATGGGAGGCAACTGCTGCTGCCTTCCTGGGGGATAGAGACTCAGAGACGCGTGGCTTCCTGTAGAGTGCTCCTGGTCGGCGCAGGGGGCCTGGGGTGTCCAATTGCCCTCTATCTCACGGGAGCTGGAATAGGTTAGCTGATCCTGCCTGTGCTTCTCATGCCGCCGTTGGAAAGTGCAGATGCAGAATACGTCTTCTCGGATGGGCCTGTAGTAGCAGCACTGACAAAAGAGGCTCTTTAGAGCCTCTTTTCGTCTCCAGAGGTCACGACAACTCGACGGGCAGGGAGATCGATCCTGCATGCGCTGCTTTTTTGCGGCTTGTTGGGCTTTTTGCTGCTTCAGGGCATTTGACGATTGTAGATGGAGATGTTATAGATGCCACAAATCTGCACAGGTAGGCTTAAGGATTGCGAATTCGCGATGGCGTTCATAGCCTCTTGCTTATGCTGCTTGTCGGGCTGCTACTGTTGCTTGTTGTGGTGCCACTGAGGCTTAATGTTGCTTGTTGTGGTGCCACTGCTGCCTGTTGTGCTGCCACTGCTGCGTGTTGCGCTGCCACTGCTGCCTGTTGTGCTGCCACTGCTGCGTGTTGTGCTGCCACTGCTGCGTGTTGTGCTGCCACTGCTGCCTGTTGTGCTGCCACTGCTGCGTGTTGTGCTGCCACTGCTGCGTGTTGTGCTGCCACTGCTGCCTGTTGTGCTGCCACTGCTGCCTGTTGTGCTGCCACTGCTGCGTGTTGTGCTGCCACTGCTGCGTGTTGCGCTGCCACTGCTGCCTGTTGTGCTACTTGCGGTCCTTGTGCTCTTGCTGCCGCTTGTTGCACTGCTTGTTTGCTGCTTGTATTGCTGCTGCTTGTTGCGCTACTGCTGCTGCTCCTATGTCATCCTCGTGGGTTTGCTGCTGCAGACAAGTATTCTTCAAGGAGGCTGACGTGGGGAACAGCAAAAGCCTAGTCCTTGCGCGGGCCTGCCGAGCTTTAGATTCGCAGGTATGTATCCGAGTCATTCATAACAGTAGCCTTACAGGACTGGTGAGCGCTGGCGGAAACGCTGCTGGGGTGCTTGCTGTGTGAGCCTTACAGCAAGAGCTGAAGCAGCTTGTGCACAAAAAACGTGTGTGCCGCCCTGTAGGGTTGCTCGGAGCCGAAGGCGTTTTCGCCGCTGCGTTGTTGCTGTTTAGGGTTCAGTTTCTGCAGTAGAGGCCTTTGTGAACTGCGAAGTCGCTGGCAGCCTTGTCCAGAAGCACGACATTGTCATTGACGCTACCGACAATCGGGAGGCGAGGTGCTACGAAATTCGCGCTTTCTGCTGCTGCGTGGGCTGGACTGCTGCCGGTGTGATCGCTGCTTTGCTGTCGTTGCGTTGCTGCGGATAAGGGCTTCCGAAATCCCGTCAGTGTGAGCAGCAGATGCGTGCGAAGGCTCCCGATTCGGCGCGTGTAGGGGCGCATAGAGCCTGGCGATGGCGAGCTGTTGTTGCTGTGCGCCAGCAAACCTTTTCAAGGCCGCCTGCGTGTGCTGCCTGTGGGCTTTAGGTATCTGCTGAGCGATGCATGCGTCCTCGCTAAAAGGCCCCTCGTCTGTGGCAGCGCTATCAAGAAGGAGGGGCAGGTGGCCGTGTACAACTGGCGGGGGGGCCCCTGCTACAGGTGCCTCTTCCCCCCGCAAGTGGGCAGTGCCGGGGAGTCTATAGGGGGGGCACCAACTACCAAAGACGAAGGAGCATGCGACACCCACGGGGTGCTGGGCCCCGTTCCGGGCCTTATTGGCCTTATGCAGGTGCGCGCTGCTGCTGCAGCTGCCGTGGCTTGTAGCCATGAAGGCAAAGGGGCCGCTGTCAGGGAGCAGAACACGCGAAAGAAAGCAGCTCTCACGCTCTTGACTGCCACTCGCTGCTGCGTTCTGCGGGCTGCTCTGAGGATTCTTCAGGCTCTCGCCGCACTGGACATTGCAGCGTCTCCTGCCCTCGAACAGGGTGCTGGGACAGACACCGGAGCCCTTCATGCCTCCCGCATGTACACCTATGACGGGGATGACGCACAGAAGCCGTGGCGATCTTTTGCCATCCGTGGAAGGCAGAAGACATGCATTGGTAAGGCCTCCACGGTGAGGGCCTGCTGCCCTCGATGTACAGTGGCGCGGCATGCGGCTTTCGAGGCGACGCACAACGACCACTGAGGGGCCTCATGAGCCTCAGGGGCCTCATGAGCCTCAGGGGCCTCATGAGCCTCAGGGGCCTCATGAGCCTCAGGGGCCTCATGAGCCTCAAAGGCCTCAGGGGCCTCAGGGGCCTCATGAGCCTCAGGGGCCTCATGAGCCTCAGGGGCCTCATTGCAGAGAGACAGTGTTTGCGCCTCATTCTTGTGCTGGGATGTTCGCCGCAGCGTGTGGCAGCAGTCCTACGATTACTGCCTTAAAGGTTAGTCCTCTCAGCCCTTCTGGGGGGCCGGTTTCCCTGTGCACCCTGTGCTCTTTCTCACGTGCTGCACACCTTCTTGCTTCGAGCTTCCTTCAAAAGAATCAGTGTTCACGCCTTCCCTTCTGCTGCTGCTCCCGATGAAGGTGCTGCAGTGGCTACACTGCTCACTGCAGCAAGAGCTGTCGCTTCAAAACTGCTTTTTTCATTACCCCCGCTGCCGTTGTTGTTGCTGCTCCTGCTGCTCCTGGTGCGCTTTGTATAGCACTCGTATTTGCTGCCCTAATATATGCTGGTGCTCATACTGCTCCTGCTGCTCTTGGTGCTGCTTGGCCTCAGCCGCGTCCAGAGTACACCGCTGTTTGCTGGTACCCTCCAGTGCCCCCGTCGCGCCGTATGCAGGCTCACGACTTCGCCTCGCGGTTGGCGCTGTGGGAAAGAGTCTGGCAGCTCCCTCCACTGTCATTTGCTGCAACGTTGCTTCGGCAGGCAGCGGCAGCTGCACAAGCTCACATGATGGTGCTGATCGATGTGCGGCCCCGTACTCAGTTTGTAGTTGCACACCTTCCATACTCTTTGTCTTGGCCTCTAGACGACCTCCTTAGCTACGTTCAGTGGAGGCAGCAGCTGACTGCAGAAGCAGCAGCGGAAGCGTTAGGCACTGCAGGAGCACCAGGAGCCTCTCCTGGGGTGTGCGCGGCATTCGGGCCAGGTGCAGCCGTAGAGGGGGAACGGAAGCGGCGAGCTAGAATCGACTCCGAGGTAGGTGTACCTCAGCAAGCACGGGGGAGAGGAGAGGGTGCATGTTGTGCCTTTCGCGTCTTGGCTCCCTTGTGGCTGCTAAAAGGACCGGTGCTGCTGCTGTTGGCGTAGGTGTAGAAACCCCCACTGGTGTGCTTGTGGTGCTGGGCTGCTTAGGAGACGGCTCGGCTTTTCGAAGAGCTCTCAGGCCTGAAACAGGCAGAGACAAGGGCCCCCTTCTCCTCTCTCTCCTTCGTGTTCATCTGCCGGAGAGGTAGGGACTCTGCGATAGCCACAGAGGCCGTGCATGGTTTGCTTGTGGGTACGAAGGATCCCCCTGAAGGGCATCCACCGAGCACTTCCCCCTTCAAAATTAGCGATCGTGTGAACGCGCTGAATCTGCATGGAGGCTTAGAGGCCCTCGTAAAGGAGGGTCTTATTCGAATGCCCGTTCCCTAGAGGCCACCCCCTTCTAGGGTGTAGTCATAGATGGGAGGCCCCTTATGAAGAGGCCCAGAGTAGTGCGATATCACAGGGGTCTTTGACATCCTTCTACTAACGGGGGTCTGGCGGGCTGGAGCGAATACTCTCCATTTTTGCAGATTTTTGTGTATGTGGATGGAGACGACACACCCCACGCGTTGCAGCAGCCTGTAAACGGCGCGCCATGGGAGCCATCTATAGTGCAGAAATCAATGAGTATTGACATAGGGGGGGAGGGCCGAAGAGGTGACCAAAAAGGCCGAGGCTATCGGCAGAGGCAAATAACGTTGCATCCCAGACGGATCCAAGATGTAGGCACTGTGAACGAGACGACTGGACCATAGGCCTCAAAGGGATCTCGGTGCAATTCGTACTGCCATAGTGGCGGGCAAATAATAGAGCAGAGGTCACGTCATTAGGCGCAATTGCAGGCGAATACCTCAAGCTAGCTGCGTACTGGAGAAAGCATCCGCACATGACGCAGGGGGAGGGAGGCAGATGCAGAGCGTTAAGCATGAAGCAGCGACGAGGAGAGCGTGAAGAGCGCTTAGAAAAGAGGGAGACGCAACGCCAACAGGAGAGAGGATCACGCAGGAAGAATCTGTGGAAGGCAGGACGGGAAACATAGGGGCCTACATATAAGTAAAAGATGTGCTGTCGTGACTGGTGCCGCAATATATATGTATATATATACTCCATACATGCATATATACACATATATATACGTAAATATCGCATGATCCTATGATAGGTAGTGCGGTTAGAGGATCTTCGCCACCACGGAGAGTGAGCGTCGTTTAGTAAGGTGCGAGACAAGGAAGTTTCAGTGTCCTTCCGCATCTGCAGTCTCTCGCTATTGGGGGTAGGTCCCTTGTGTCATTTTGGATTTGTTCTAAAGATTCGCGTATCCGTTTCTGCGTCTGGCAAGCCCTTCTCGCGGTTTGTTTTAGGGCGCACCAACGGGGGCACAAGGAAACTTTGAATACGCAAATGTCGGCCTCTACTTCTGTCAGCATTTTCAAATGCGTATTGGGCGTCTATGGGGCCTCTCCGCAGAAGCTGTCTAGGGGAGCGGCCCTCATTTTGTTTTGTGGGAAATCGGGTGCGAGGGGGCAGTTCTTCATGGTCCTATAGCTAATGTTGCAAGAGAACCGTGACTAAGACTCTGGAAACCTCTGTACCTGGCAAAGCAACCAGCCACAGGGGCTTCATGAACGGCGTGGCGCTAGGAGGGGGCATGCACCAACCGGCGTCTCTGGTGTGAATGGGAAGACACTAGAATTCCTCACCGCGAGTCGTGGACTTACACCGCCAGGCAGTTATTCCTCCGTTTGCACTGAAAATTCTTCGTCGCTGCTTTGTTCTTCTACCCACTCCTGCAGGAGCGCACAAGGGGGGAGTCTCTGAGTATGAGAGGCTCCCAGGGGAGGTATCAGAAGAAGCGAGCGACATAGATACAGGAGACAGTCATTGGGAAGCGAGAGGGTCGGAAGACACAGCCTCTTCTGCAAGCTCTGCAAGAAGTGCAGCAAGAACACGCGGCATATGCATCAGGGGACGGCAGCGTGACATACGGCTCATAAACACTCGCGTCAAGACGGGCCCAAAGAAGAGGCACACTTTTACGAATGTAGCGAGAAGTGTTTGCTACAGGAGGAAGTGCTGAAAGAAGCGAGAGACAGAAGGGGGTACAGAGGGATTAGGCTGGGAAGAAGAATGTGCCAATGAGGCGGGGAGGGGGCGAGGCATCGAAGCAAAGCAATCCACCAACCCCGAATTTTTCAAGGTTTTCCTCTTCGACAGCGTCAGCGGCAGCAAGGGGAGAACGTCCTCCCCCAACCTTCCCGCTTGCTCCAATGGCCTCTGCCGCGCCCTCCCCGACAGCCGCAGTGGCGTCGCCTCTGACAGCAGGAGCTTCCTGAAAAAAGTAGAGCGACAGCACACCGCATGCACACCTCCCTTCACAAACCCCGAACCATGCACGGAAAAACAAACATCTGGTTGCAAAAAATATAGCAGAGGTCAGGCATACAGACAGACAGAGACAGAGAGAGAGATAGAGAGAGAGACACACAGAGAGAGAGAGAGAGAGAGACAGAGAGTGACAGAGAGACGAAAACGCGGGAGGGCTAGTGAGAAAGTGAAACATATATATATACATATATATATTTACGTATATATATATATATTTAGATACTCATACATGTATACATATACACATATATATTTACATATACATATGTACATATATATCTAAATGTCTGTAAAAGCGCTAGCACTCGCATAGAGCGTCACGTGAGACAGCCGCGTGGAGGGTAAATTGTCTGCCAGATGGAAAGGGGCGAGAAGCGCAGGCCGCAACCGCTTTGGAGTGCCGATCTTCTGTCCTAGTAGAAGAGTTTTGACCATCGAGTGTACGCCATCTTGACCCCTTGGATGTACCTGTTTGTGTTGAGAAGGAAGACAGCTCGCTCTAAAGTCTGTCGTGCCATCGAAGAAGAAGGCCTCCACAACTCGCCCGTCGAAAACGCGTCCCCGCATCTTCTAAAAGTCACTCTCAGACCACACAGACAGACAAGCACGCATACCTAGAGGCTCCCCCAAAAAGCAGCTAGGAGGAGAATGAAAATATCAGAAAGGCTGGAGCTAAGGGCCACTAAGCGAAGGAGGGAAATGACGCTCTAAGGCAGCGGCATGGCCTGTGGGGAGCACACTAATACACCCCCACTTTATCGTTGGGGGTATTCTCTACATTCATACACATACACATACATACACATACACACACACACACACACAGAGAGAGAGAGAGACCGCGGCAGACAGACACCCACCTCGATGACAGCCTCCGCATCTTCTGTCTGCTTGAACTTCACGCACACTACGCCTTGCGGATGCCTCTGCATAAATCTCAAACGAATTGCGGCAGCATCCGAAGACGTAAGGGCACGACTCCCAGCCGGCACTGCGCGCACTGGACCCCTCCAGCAGGGAGGTAGCCTTGGCTTTTATGTACCCCTTTCAAGCGAGAGCCTCTTTTGGCAAGCTCGCGAGCTTCTCAGCAAGCAAATCGGGGGCTGCGAGGACGGTGCAAAGGATGCGCCAAGCAGTGTGTTTTGTGTGTGGTCGAAAAGACAGGGGGGGTGCTACTCAGGAAACACTCCCTTGCATGTGGCTTCGTGTCAGCCTACCGGAATAACAGTAATTTTGTCGGGATGACGGACTTTGGCGATTTCCTCCAAAATCTCGAGGCGCAGATCTTCGTAAAACTCAGCGCCTTCCTCGTGCTCCTGAACAGCACAACAAACCCCGCAAAGAAATGCATGCAGCAAGCTCGAGACAGACGCGCGACGTCGCAGCAACTCCCTTCGCGCCGCTGGACAAGTGCACATCTTAGACACCCCACAGGAGAACCTCTGTTCGTGGGTGAGGCTTCGAGAAACGACTCACAGGAAGACATGCCAGCCACCAGAGGAAAGCACGCCCCTATACAGAGGGACTACGCGCAGGCGCTCCAAGAAAAAGAGAGCCAGATAGAGACAGAGACAGACAGAGACAGATAGAGAGAGAGATACAGAGAGAGTCTTAGGCCCTAACAGTGGCATGCAGCATGCAATGATCAGGCAAAGGAACCGGATGACGGCATGCCAGGGATAATGCGTTTTTTTCAAGCCTCTGAAATCACTAACCTCTGCCTCCTGCAGAGAATACATAGGCCTCAACACCACGATGTTTCGCCTCGACCGACCATCCGCAGCCTCCGTATCCCAGCTCAAAAGCCTAGTGAATACAGGGGCAGACACAACATAGACGGACATGTTTGTACTTGTCGAGAGACAGAAAACAGTCCTCCTCCCTCCCCCTTCCTTCCTTCCCTCGCCTGCCTAAGAGTGAGTGTATGTGGCCTTCTTCTCCGGCGACTCTCTCTCTACCGTAAAGGCTTCGTGAGTTCGAAGGGTACCCCGCTTCTCCATCTGAAGGCGGAGACTTCGCTTTCTTCGAATTCTAAGGCCTTCCCCACTACGCCCCCCGTGCATCGAGCGCATGTCTCGCTGCAGCTCCCGCCTCCGCATGCACAGCCGGCTCGCGGAGGCGGCTGAAACCGTCGACTCTGCACACCTGGCTTGCTCTTGGCGAGCGGCGAGAATGCGCTTGCGACGTCTTCTCAGAGCCGCCTGCTGGACCAGGGAGACTCTCGCAGTCTGCTGTGAAGACGCCTCTGTCTTCTGCTCTTGCTTCTTCGAAAAGTCTGCTAAAGAGACCTGTACGTGCAAGCACTCGAGCGCAAGCGGCTGCCTGCGACTCTCTACGCAGAGACTGAGCTGCTTCAAGACACACAGTGTGCAACGCAAAGGTGTGGTGCTCGCTGCAGCAGCCCTAGCCTCAAACCTCCCCACCCCACCCTCAGAAGCCGGCACACACCCCCCCCCACCGCGCCAGACGACTCTTTCCGTCTGGTGCATTGCTGCGCATGCAGCAGACGTGTCAGTCTTGCCTGAATGGTGTGAGCCTCGTCGACGGCGTACTGATCGAAATAGCGAATCGCTGTTTCCACGCTGGCCTCGTGCGCGAAGCTGATGAGACAGTCGCCCTTAAAGAGGCCTGCCTCATCAGTGTACAGGCGAATCTTGGGCTGTACTGACGCCAACACGTACCACATACAAAGATGCACGCGCACGTCTGCATGCATGCATGTATGCATGCAAGCACAGGAACGGACAGACAGCGGCTGCTGTATACATATATTTATAGGCTTATCCAGCCTAACCGACAGAGAGCCCTTTGAAAGCCTCCCCACCTTCAATTTCCTCCATACGTATATGCATAAATATAAATATATATATATATATTATATACAAGCCCACCAGCCCGACCATGTAGGCTCGCATAGAAGCGTCCACAGAGACACACATCCACATGCATACACATACATATGCATGCAAACGCACATATATACATATACATACAAATATATATACATATGCCTACTGCTAGAACATATGAAGGCCGCTCCGTTCTGTGAGAGAGAAAGAGAGAGACAGAGAGAGAGACAGACAGCGAGAGAGACAGCTTTAGACGCATGCATGAGGAGTATGGGGTGTTGCTGGCAGTCTCACGCGTTTCGGGGTCCACCTTGAAAACACCCGCTTTCTTGAAGAGATCCGCAACATCCTTCTCGGTATAGGTGAGTGGCAGGCCGCTAACGTAAATATTTGGATTTTTTTTAGGTTGTACGAAGAGGCCTTCATCCCGTTTTCTCTTTCGCCTGTCTCTGTAGGCTCGGCGCTTCTCTGCGTTCTCGAGTTTCTTCCGGAGCGCCTCCAACTCCTCCGGCGAGAGGGCTTGCTGAGAATTCTCCGCAGCTGCCACACCCCCGGCGAGTGCCTCCTTCTCCCGTCGTGCGGATGGGGGGAAGCCTCCCAAAGAGGCGTCGCCGCGAGCGTCGCCAGCAGCCACTCCCTCCCCAGAAGCGGCGGGAGTTTTCTGACCCTTTCCAGCCGAGCAAGACCCCTTCACAGCGGCTGCAACGGCAGCCAACACAAGCGTCTCGTCCTGCAGACTGCTCCTGCCATCACCACCAACCCCACCTCCACTCCCGTCCGCAGCCGTGGCCACTAAGAAATCATAATCCTACACACCCGTCCGCAACGCAATACGAAAAGGGACCCCTCCTGCAGCGAAACGCCGTACCTACGCGTTAGTGCGTAAGCACTGAAGAGTCATGTGCTCACACAGCACGAGGCAGCGCCACACCAGCAGCAGTATTAGCACCGACGAAAAGACAATCATAGAACGGCAAGAGCGGCCGCCACTGCGAAGGGGCCCTCCTGCCCTTTCCCCTCCTCGTGCGGCACCACATGCATTGCAGCAGCAAGAGCACGCAAGATGCCGCAGCAGAATGCCGCTCAGGCAGCCGAACTGGGGGAGAAGGATAGAAGACCCTTCCCCCTACATATGTATACATACATATACATCTACGAGGCAGGGTGGGAGTGGATCGCGCATGCCCCCCTGCGCCAAGCCGCATGCACCGTGCATCGCTATACGGGGTAGGGTGTGGTCTGTGTTACGTGTTTAGTTCGCCAAAGCTTATCCACAGTGTCAAAGACCATCCACTGGCCGTCAGGAGCGCAGTATTTGAGCGCTGCATCCACATGCGGGAAGGGGGCTCTCGTCGCCGCTGCTGCTGCTGCTGCACCCGCAACTGCAAGGACTGCTGCCTTCTCAGTTGCTGCTCTCCGCTTCTTTCCAGGAACTGCTGCAGCAGCTGCCGCTGCGAAGGCAGCAGCCGCTTCGGCTTCTGCTGCTATCTCCGCCTTCGCGGCGAGCGCTGCTGCGTCTTCCTCCTGCTGCTGCTGCTGCCACATGCGCAGTGCCTCAGCAACAACTGGATAATCGCATATAGGCGTCCACTCGGAGGCCCCTAGCCGCAGCACGTAAGTCAAGCCGTCTATCAGATTCCACGCAAAGTAGACTCTCAGAGCTGAGAGGCTTAAGGGGCCGACAACGCCTCCCTCAGCTCCTGCGCTGGCGTCTCCCGGGGAAGCTGCAGCGAGCGCCCCTCCTGCACTTGTGCTGTCTGCGTTGCTGCTGCTGTTGCTGCTAGGGGGTGTCTGGGAGCACTCCTCTGCCTCGTCGCCTCCCCCAGATACGGTCCGCTTATGCCCTGCTGCACCGTCCCTGCCCTCGGCAAGAAGCGCTGTAGCGTCGTGTAAAGGCTGTCTTAGCGGCTCCTCTCCATGCTCTTGCTGCTGCTCTTGCTGCTGCTCTTGCTGCTGCTCTTGCTGCTGCTGCTGAGCTCGGCGTTCCTGCTCGCGCTGGAGTACCTTCAAGGCATCCGGTGGAAGAAGGACATACCATTCGGCTTCCTCTTCTGCTGCTGGGAAGCCCTCTCGGGGGAGGGAGGTTTCCATCGATGAGTCTCCCGCGCCTCGCTGTCCACCTTCATTCCTAGAATCCGACTGCGCTGTTTCAGAACCCTTAGAAGCCTCGAAAGGGGCAGCAGAGGCCCCTTGCGCTTGCTGCTGCTGGGCGTCCATAGCGCCTGCGCTCTGACCTGCTGCTTGCTGCTTCTTGGGGATAACTCTTCACGAGCGACACACCCGGGGAGCAGCCGACGCAGAGAATGCAGAGTTCGCGATTTAAAACCAATTATATTGCCAGGGGAGCAAATTCTTCCAGAGCGCATCCAGGGGGAGGGATGCACGAGGGGCCCCCACCGGGGCCCCTCGTGCATCTGCGCATCCCACATCCCTCTCCTCGCAGTACGGCTGTGTGCAGACCTTTCAATATTCGCAGCGTGCAGATCACGCTCAGATTATTCGAATCTCGTTCACAGAGAGGGAGGAAATAGGAATTTACCACCTCCACCCCTGTCCTACGCCATCGCCCCCTCAGACACCGGATACAGCTCTCATGCATCCATAGAAATCGGAAGGGAGATCCTCGTTCAGCGCTTGACACCCTAAATAAAAGATGCTCGATATCTCGAAGGGCGCAGAGAGCCCGTGTGTCGCAGACTGACACAAAGACTACCCCAGGCGCTCAGCTTCACGGTGCCACTTCCGACTACACTGGCCATTGTTCGTGAAAACCTGGTAAAGAGCCTACCCTTCTTCCGTTTTGCTGTTGGTACATATCGCAGTGGATGCAGAGGTCTCTCAGTTCAGTGCGATAAGAATCACACGAAAGGCGATCCTTTTAGACTCCAGACTCCATTCAAGGCTAGTAAAAGGTACTGACTAGCTTTCTAAGGCATGCCCTTCTTCTCCTGCCCCCACTCCTCAGTGCGCCGCCACAAGAAAGTTGCACAAGAAGGTTGCGCCTGTCTCCACGCGCTCAGCAATCGATCATTCCCCGCTAGCTGCACAAATCATCTAGAGCACACCCAAACAGTATCGATTCTTCTAGACTTTGAAATATGCTGCTCCGCAATCAATAAGATCGTACAAAGAGAAGACCATCAGTCAATTCTTTACGAATACTTTGCCGAATACAACTAGGGCAGCAGGAAGTGCTACACTCCCCCCTCACATTCCAAAACAAACACACGCCCTCTTCTTACCTGTCCGTGCCTCGAGATTATTCGCATACAGAACAACGGAAAAGAGCCCTCGCACTCTCGCCACTAGCCAGGCAAGGAGAAACGCCAAACAGTGCACGTGAGAAAAACAAACGTGCGCACCAAACGTTAAAGTGGAATCAACAGGACGACAGACTTGCACCATAGCCAATAAGGACCGAGGGAGTCTACCGGCATGACTGGGGCAGTGCGACGGCTCCCTGTTGTTGGAGCGCTGAATGTGTGAGCCTCTTGCTACGCGATAACAGAAGACATTTATACTTTGCAAAGGGAATCACAATACACACTAGTTCAGGAAAGCCTCGGCGCCTCTTAGAGCCTAGTCTGCACGCAAATACAGCCGGTGCATGCAACATAATGGACGTCAAAGTCCCAAAGAGGCATGACAAAGAATGTAGGGACAACATACCTCAGGTTGCCTTTGCATAAAACTGAGAGTAGTGCAGACCTCAACAATGATCAGCGGAAGATTGTCCAGCAATATCCAGAGCTGAAGGTACCTATTTCAGGGAGAGCCTGCATTGGGAAAGGGCACTCACCGAGGAACGCGAGGAATGCGCTCCATGGCGATTCGTCATGTAAACCAAGCAGAGCTGCAAATGCTCCCACAGGTAAGGCAGCCTGCAGCCGCGCTTCCGCCAAATACAAACTCGACACTACGAGTGCGAATGTGCAGCGACGTCGTTTGCCTGCCATCAGGGTTACTCGAAATATGCTGGGAAGCATCTGTGAATTCCACTGCCTAAGAGAGAGCTGATCGCGTAAATTGTCGCCTATGCTGCCAAGATGTGAAAATACGAAGTTTTGCCTCTTAGTTGTTTTGATTGGAGTTCAAAGGTTTACGCTTATGCACCACCTTCCGTCCTTCGTCGGCACCAACACAGGATATGCCTTGTATATCCATGCGCTTTGGCTAATCCAACAAAAGCACTCGCCTGCCGATGAAGATCCTCTTCATGCTCTCGAGGCTTCCAATGCTGCACAACGTGGCTTTGGGCGGCCATGGGTTTTTGCACGATACGGCGCACTGGATGACTAGCAGGTGGTGAACCTACTCGCAGCTCACCAATAACCCACAAACTTCTACTTAATTTTAACACACTCATGCTATTTTTCGGCTTGACATTCAATCATGTACTTCAGCAAAAAATGCAGTTGCAGAGGCACTAGGACCCGATGCAGGCTTAGAACCATCTTCTCGTACTGTGCTGCTCAGCCGCCAGCATAGAAGCTCTGCCTCATCTTGTTGTGGAACGTACTCTACACTACTCATCAGATATGCAGCAGATGCGGTTGAGCCCCGCACGAAGCGCTTCTTCCTACCGCTTCCTGCCACTCCAACCTCCACAACGCGCAGCTATGGCCTCACGCGCGCCTTCCGACGCCTTCCACGGAGTCACCAATGGCACCCCTGGGAGTACGTCATGATGCATAGGGCCACCACAGAGGTTAGGGAGCAGAGTTATATAATCTAATTTTGACTGAAGTAGCATTAAACTGCCGCAGCCCTGCGAGTCGCTGCGTTCTGCTAGCCGTCAGCAACCCTGAGCCTACGGGACTGCACTGACGAGTTTGCAGGCAGAATGCACCACTGTGCTGCCTCCTCGAATATCTGATCCATTTCCTATGCAGCGCCAAGTAGCACCAACAGTTCTTGACTATTAATGTTAGCCTGTACCGCCACAGAACTGATTGGCAGTAGGGCGCCAACTGTTCTAGTGCACCGCAGGCTGCGTGGGGATTTCCGTTTCCTGATGCTCCTTCAGCGCTCGACAGGCAGCCAGCTCCAGCTGGGATCAATCCTGTTGTCGTCGTTATTGGCATTTTGCAAGCGCGTGCAGTTCCCGATTGTATGATCGAATGCTCCATAATGAGAGCAGATGCGGTGTTGGGGTTGTCTGGTTCCTCTAGAAGTGCTGGTCCTATCTGGCTCCCTTTTCGCGCCCACCTTAGACTGCAGGCGAAAGTTAATCGACCTAGCTCCACATATATAGGCTCTAAGTCCCAATTTGGCTTTTTTTCAACCAGTTAAGCAGGAGTTGTGCCCATTCGCTCTAAACACGTCTGCTGGTCCGCCATTTGTAGTTGGTTTGCCCCACTGGTCGGATGTTCAATGAGTGAGTTCATTCCCACCCCGCGACCCTCCAACACATCATTTCGAACAGACTTGAGACGAGCCACTGACAAAACGGCTTTTCGTCTACATAATGGCCTTTGTGATCCAAAGTTTTGGGTGCCGCGATGTACCATATTGTTGATAGGTCGCCGTACTTGCGCCCCTTCAATTCTTAGCCCTTGCTGTTTTGTAATTCTGGTTAAGGCTTGCATGAAGGCTTGAATTGTAACAATCCCTGCAAGCGAACCATTTTGCTGCATGAATGGAGCGCCCACGAACGTACTGCCTTCTCCAATACTCTTGCCGTAAGGATTAGTAGTCTCTCTCCATCTGTTCTACTAAGGGAGGCCCTAAATTCCAGACCCAATACATGTTTGATTACAAGTTTTTGAGTGGGCTTAGAAAGAAGCTCTCTTAATCTCGTACCCTGTCTTGTTAGGGCTTCTTACACAAGCAGAAATGGACACGAAGTGTGCGCCTATTTGCCGGCTCTGAGCCATCCGAGCATTCCCTGGTTTTGCACATGTCATCGAGAGCACAGCCATACAACAGTGCGTCTTATTGTAACAAAGTTGGAGTAGTCTGCAATAAATAAGGTATAAAGACAGACAAACCGATTAGCCAATTAACTGCAAGGTATTTGCTACATATGACCAGCGTGGTTGGAAGCGTTCAGAGAGCTTACTTCGCAACATCATGCCGAAATCTGTGGGGGACGCCGGCAGGGCAAGGCAAGAGTTTCTTCAAGAGGCACTCAACAATATCCTATCAAGCTTGTGTTGACGACGGAATCAAGTTTCCCTGCCAACCGCTGCAACACTCTTGCAGTATCGAGCTAACGCTTATCTGCGATAGTATGCTCTACCAGCAGCCAATACAAATTGTTGATTCTTCACTCAATGGTGATTTTCTATAATATGTGTAGCGAAGCATAGATAGGGGTGGCTGCTTGGCCCGCTACGTGGAGCGCTCTGTGCAACCTGCTCAAGTGCAGCCTTGCGTGTCGCTCCCTCGGCAACCCTATGGCTGTCAATGGATAGCTATTGCGACAGGCGGCTAGCTATGTCGATATGTGTACATGCACTGTGAAGGGTTCAGCGGGCAAGGGCATTCGCAGCAGTATTCGCAGCAGTAGATGGATGGAGCACTCAACCGACCACAGCAGTAGATGGATGGAGCACTCAACCAACCACAGCAGTAGATGGATGGAGCACTCAACCGACCACAGCAGTAGATGGATGGAGCACTCAACCAACCACAGCAGTAGATGGATGGAGCACTCAACCGACCACAGCAGCAGGTCGGGCTCTGGTGGCACGTCTCTCCGGATGTTGTTAGGATTATTAGTAGGCAGTTGCCGAGTAAGATTCCACAAAGCGCGATATCGAAGCGCACATACTTCAGCAACCAGAGCAGCAGCCGTTGCGGCGATCGCCGGATGATGCCATCGCCGCTGCTGCTGCTGCATGCAGCCCCAGTCATTAGCCTGTTTCCGGGCATGCGGCAGCATCAGCTGCTGCTAGCGCCGCCTCCCTTGTGGCCAATCGGCAAAGCAGTCACGGTTTCAGTTCGCTGACAGGCGACCAAGAGCACTGGTACCGTCTCAGAGACTGGCAAATCAGCCACTGGGGCATGCTGCATCCGTTGGTGGAGCTGAGGCAGGAGTGTGGTGACGGCGGCGGCAGGAACTTTGGTCGCAGTCTCCGTGGAATTATCACTCCATCCGTGCAGAGTTCGTCGAAGTGGGCTGGCAGAAAATTCCGGGGAAAAAGTCGCATCTTTCAGTTTCGCCAGGAGGCTACAGAAGCGAGAGCAGCGCGGCGGGTAGCTTTGAGGTTTGATAGACCATCCGCAGGAGCGCGCTGTATGCCGCAGCAGCAGCTGCTGCGGCATGCAGCTGCTGCTGCCCTTGCAGTCGCCTCCCATGGAACGGAAGCCTTTTGACGGTGTTTGCTGCCGATTTCTATCCAAGTCATAAAAGCGGCAGCAGCGGCAGCAACAGCAGTGTTACCGGCTTCCGGAGAGAGCTTGTTCTCTGCTGCTGCGCGAGCAGCAACGGCGGGAACCTGGCGGGAGGGGAGGCTGTGGTGACAGAAAGCCAGAGGAGTCACTACTGAAGAAGCTCTAGCCAGCATCACAGGGCAGGCAAGAAAGAGGTCTTTCTTCGTAGCCTTTGCCGGCACCAGTCTCCCCAGTTTAACAGTACCAAGTGCAAGGGATGGCGATCTCCAAGAAGCGCACATGTAGGCGCTGGCCGTTTGTTCCTCAGGACCGATTTCCATCATTTCAGCGAATAGCTCCCCGCATTCGGCGCCTCGTTTTGCAGCAACAGCAGCAGTGGCGGCAGCAGCTCCTGCAGATCCGGGAGCTTCGCATACAAGCA